TCTTTCTTTCTTTCTTTCTTTCTTTCTTTCTTTCTTATACTATTGTTCCTATTATTTAGCCTACTCTTTTTTTTTCTTTTTATCTTCTGTTTTCATCCTCTCTGGTTATTCTTTCTTTCTTTCTTTCTTTCTTTCTTTCTTTCTTTCTTTCTTTCTTTACATTAATTAAATTCTTGTCTTCTTTCTTTTCCCTTTCTTTTTCTATTTGTTCACTTTCTTTTTTTCCTCACCAATTTACGAGAGAACAATTAGAGATACTGTAGAAAAAAATTGCGAGGGGACAAAATGAAGAAAAAAAAAAAAAAAAAAGAAAAAAAAGAAGGACCCTTAAAGTACAAGATAAATAAACAAATAGAACCTTTTTTCTCCTGATACTTAGACCATTTTTGAGAATAATTTCTTCGTCGCCTGCAGAAAAGATTGGGAAGACGCCAAGAAATGCGATCGTCGAAAACAAGAATTATTTGAAATTATACACTTGATAGGTAACTATTTTTTTTTATCTTGTTAATGTTCCCAAAGTAGGCAACCTTTACTTGTTTATTGGTTTCGAAAGCAATGTATCTTTGTAGTCTGTCTATCTTTTTAACTCGATCATAATAATCAATCTGCCTCGGTCTTCCTTTGGTTATGAACTGAGAAAGTTACATTAATTTTTTTTTTAGTATCGTACTTTTCACTTAAGTCGACCAAATCGGTCCAAATTTCCAAAAGTCGCAGTCAGTCCATTCATTTTATATATAAATCTCTAAGTTTATATGTGCGTCTGATCGACTCTGTAAATTTAAGCGCAGTACTAGATTGGCAGCAAGGTCTCATCAGTTTACAGTTGAAATGACAAGATGTAACAGTAGGTTCTATGTTAACAGTTTTTTATATCGCACTTCTCCCTTGTGGAACTCTCTTCCAGCTTCTTGTTTCCTAATCTTCTAAAATCTAAATTAAATTAGCAGGATTATGGCCCGGCGTTGCCCATGCTTGATTCAAAAATCGTACGACTCATACAGCAATCCCTATCACTTGATTTAAAATATTTTTGCCCTACCTTGCCTTTAAAGGAGTGCCCTTTGCCGTGCTGATGTTTTCTGTAAGGCACGTACTGGAATCTTCTACGTGGCGTGTCCCTTCGGGGCGTCGGCTATTTGGCTCGCTAACCAGAACTGACTATTCCTTTCTTTCTTTTCTTTTTTGAAAATCATTTCACCCCCAGAAAGGCGATAATACCACGAAGACGCAAGGTGCTATACAGAATGAAAGAGTATGAATAGAATTTAGGAGAAGAAACAAGGATAAACCTCCACTCCTGTTTAAAACACCGGTTAGCTGTTTGATCCGGGCGATAGGGCTATCTACGTTGCTTTTATCATTTCTTGTCTTTTTACTCACCCTCGCAGTCCCTGTTTTGTTATCCATTTACGCAAGTTCCATATTTGTTAGATAGGTTAGTCGCCTTCCGTTTTGCATTCACTATGTTATGTCAATGTCAAATTTTCTTTCCAAGTTATATAACGCGCTATAGCATGGCCCGGCGTTGCCCGTGTTTGATTCAAAAAATCGTACGACGCATACAGCAATCGCTATCACTTGACTTAAAAATATTTTGCCCTTCCTTGCCTTTTTTTAAAGGAGTGCCTTTGCCGTGCTGATGATGTTGCTACATGCTTACTTCTTGCCTATATCACACTGCGAATTTTTTTCTAAGCTCTATACTAAACATGAAATTGTTACGAAAAAAGAACTAAACAAAATGAACACAAAACGATCAGCTTTAAAAAAGGACTCATAACTGGAAAAACCGAATGAAAAAAGAATATTAACAACAAATACTTTTTCACACCCAACCCACTTCTGCGGAATCAGAATTAACGTTGAGTTTAAGCAAGCGAATTAGCCAATTGGAGTAAAGTGCCATGCAGATTTAAATTTTTCCCACTTGTAACGAATGCAGCTATCGATTTTTTTTTTGCATGCTAGCATGCTAGTTAACATTCGTGTCAGTCAGCTGGCCAATAGAATCTTCCTGCCTATTCGTGACAGCCAGCTATAGGCTCTCATTCTGGCCAGTAGAAAATGGCCGCAGACTACATGAAAACTGCCGTAGAAGCATGAAAAAATCGATTATTTCCACTATCGATGGGAGTTGGGAAATGCAAAGTTGGTCTTGGCCTTTCCACTAACTTGGAGCATGTGAATATAAATTTTGGTGCAAATCCGTCGAAAATTGCGGCCGTGCATTCGTTACACACACACACACACACACACACACACACACACACACACACACACACACACACACACACACACACACACACACATCCTGCCTTGTATATAGAGAGATATCAATCGTTATTTTTTGTCTACATAATTCTTGTTCTCTTATTGTTCTATCTCTTTAATGTGTTTTTTTTCTCTTATTCTCTAACACTCGGTAACACCCCCCTTGCGTCATAGTGGCTTTATTGCCTTGCTTGGGGGGGATAAGTAAAAATAATTCTTTGAC